CAGCTTTCAGCTCAGAGAAATCCGGCTTTATCTGCTCGGCTACAGAATGTCATGAAACGAGTGCCCTTGTTGAGGGTACGAAGGAGGGAGGGAGAGGAGAGGGGGTAGAAAGAGATACAAACTGATGGATAAAAACCGAGCTTTCAGACTCAGTACACAGCACCCGCCTATGGGCAGATGAGGTTTTAATAGTAGGGAGGATATGCAGCTGCCCACTGGGATAAGTCCCTTAGGAGGGAAGACGTAAGGTAACTTATTCACCTCTTCACCCCCAAACCATCAGTGACAGTTAAAACACCCTCGAACATGTATTTGAAAGGATCTGAATCCAAACACTAGTGTTTTTTAAGGGATTGCAGGGCTTCCTCAATTCAAGTGCCTTTAAAATCAGTATGTTTGAAATGCATGCCCCTAAATGAACATCTCCACCAGAGTCATCTGGACCCCAATTCAGCTACACTGATTCAGAGTCTCTGGGTAGAGCCCATAAGTGAACTCCCCTAGCAGTCCCCTAAGCCCAGGTGAATATTAGACATGCTAATGTTTGAGATCCATTGCCCTAGAACTTCCAGGAGGGATTTATCACTGAAAAACAATCTGGACTCTCCCTCATCTGAATCTTCTTATTCATACCCTGCGTATTTTTCCCAATTCTTTATCATCTGGTATTATTTTCATAATTTCTATATCTTAAAATTGCTTGTTTTGATATGGGTATGTTCTTTTTTCCTGATATGTTTTCCACCCTGTGATTCCAGTGGATTCTAACTCTAAGGTTAGCCCGTGAGTTTCAGGTTTATCCTCTCAGTGCCCAGGCCATAACCCATGGGAGTTCTTAATAGGAGCATCTTCACAGCCTGCCTTGACTTTGCAGTATTATTCCTTTATATCTTAAAAGATATTTCAGTATTAAAGAGCACCTCTACGCCCATTAGAAAGACATTCTCATTACTGATGACCAATTTAGCAGTACTTATTAAATGAGATTTTTAACTATATTTCCTTACCCAGTAAATAAATAATCAGAGACATACACTAAAATAGGTAGGTAGGTAGGTAGATAGATAGATAGATAGATAGATAGATAGATAGATATTCATTATGGCACTATTCAACCTATAATAGTAAAAATTTAGAAGCATCTTAAAGGTCTTTTAAATAAATTTCTATACTCGAAATAAAGGAATGCTATTAATATTCAAATGTTTTTACTATGTAATATGGTGGACAATTTTTTAAACAGTGTTAAATCTGATCACTCAGTTTGAGCTCTACAGCTTTTGTCCCCAAAGCTACCTTTGCCACTAAAAAATGAGAGTAAGAGAAACCAAAAAAGAGAAAGAAAGAAAGAGAGAGAGAGGAAGGAAGGAAGGAAGGAAGGAAGAAAGGAAAAGAAAAATATTAAAATTTAGAATAGGCTGGAGGAGAGAGTAAGGGAATAAACAAAAACAAATAAAATTATTAAAAGATAAAATAGGTAGCATACGATTCCAAAGAGTTCATTGAGCAGGCTGTAACACAGTCCCAGCCAACTGGACCCATATTGTTCTCACCTAGGTGTAATTCATCAGGGTCTCTGAAGTCACTGGCTTAGCTGCTGGCCATGAAAGGAGCTCTAAAACTGAGTATTGCCAAAGATAGTGGGATTTTGGAAAAGGAACCTCCAAATAAGTAAACAAGTAAGAAAAAAATGCAGTGTTTTGGTCCTTACCATATAAAAGCAGCCTTTCTCCTGGCCAAACACTCTAGTGTAATTATGGTTGTAAGGAACGAATTAGATAAATAACAGTAGAAAATTCAACTATGAGAATGAATCTTAGACCACAAGTTGAGAGATGGAAAAAACAGAACGCTCTTTGATTTTTCTATGTTGCAACTAAATTTCTATTTCAAGCCCCTCCTCTGCCATGGTATAGGAACACTCGAACTATTTCAATTCATCTGCCCTTCACAGCTTTTTCTCTCTACGTTGACTCTGAATACCAAGTCATGAGGTCTCAGCATGCTGTTACTTCAGCTAGTCATTTTTAAATTATCCTTTGTGCCCATCCACAAAGCCCCTCTCTATTAACTGGCTCTTTCTATTAACGTTGTGCCATTTGTGGGTACAAAGGAAGCTTTCTGATACTTCTGTGCCTTGTTGAGGCCCTGGAAATATCTGCAAGGCTGCCTAAGGCCCCATTTGTCTAGGCACATCACATAGATATTTCCCTTTTATGGAGTCTTACCACCTCTCCACAAATGCTTCCTTTTCCTGTATCCATGAATTTGCTGTGTGACTTTGCCTTTCAAACACTTGAATAACTTTTTTAGTCATAACTTTTTTAGTCAACATACATGTAGCAAATGTGGTACAATCAGAGACTCCCTCTCTCTTTCTCATACACACATACACTATGTATATATATAAGATATCCCTCAACTGGCTGTGGATTAAAAAAAAAAAAGTAGTATATCCATACAGTGAAATATGATTCAGCCACAAAAGAATGAAGTGCTACTGACCTATGCTACAATAGGAAGGAGTCTTGAAACATAATGTTAAATGGATAAGCCAGATACAAAAGGCCACATAGTGTATGATTTCATTTATATGAAATGTTCATAGACAAATCCATAGAGGTCAGAAAATCATGTGTTTAGTGGTTTTCAGGGGCTAGTGGAGGGGGAAGAAGAGAGTGACTGCTGACGGGTATAGAGTTTTTGGGGGGACGGTAAAAAGATATTCTAGAATTAGATAATAGTGATGTAAAGTTGTATAATCTTATGAATATAGTAAAACACTGATTTGTACATTGTAAAAAGATTATTTTATGGCATGTGAATTATATCTCAATTTAAAAAAATGAATGAGAAGATATGGCCATTGTGATAGGAGAAGAAACAAGAGAGTATGCTGTACCGGACGCTAAGTGATAAACAAAAATGGTTTTATTAATAGGGACTGTTCATCTGTGTAAAAATACTATGTTGAGATTGATTCTATTCTGGACTGAGAATTAACCATTGAATTCAGCAAAGATGGAGCATGTTGATGATCATGCCAAGAATGTTTTCAATGGAGCGGTAGCAATGGACAGAGTTAAGGAGAGAATGGGAGATAAGGATTGGAAACAATGAGTAAAAAATTCCCCCAAGGATTTTTGTTATGCTGTTTAATGGAGACATGAGATTGTATCTGAAGAGGTTCATTAAACCTAGAGAGTTGTTTTTCCTTTTTTATTTATTTTTGGGGGATTGTAAATGGCTAGCACAATTGTATATTGATTGGCAAAGATTCAGTAGACATGGAAAAAGAGATGATGCAAGAGAGACTAGGGATAGTAGCAGGAACAAAGTCCTTGAGAAAATAAGGAGGAATAGAACTTAGAGCCTGAGTGTAAGGTCTGATTAGTGACAGGAAAAGGGACATGCCATACACTACAGGTATTTTCTTGTGCTTCGCTTTAATGAGCGTCGCAGATATTGCGTTTTTTACAAACTGAAGGTTTGTGGCAACCCTGCATTGAGCAAGTCTATCGACCTCATTTATCCAACAGCATTTGCTCACTTCATGTCTATGTCACGTTTCAGTAATTCTTGCAATATTTCAAACTTTTTCATTATAATTGTCTTTGTTATGGTGATCTGTGATCAGTAATCTCTGATTTTACTATTGTAATTGTTTTGGGGCCCCACAAACCACACCCAGATAAGATGGTGAACTTAGTCGATAAATGTTGTGTGTGGTCTGACTGCTCCACCACCTGGCCATGCCCTCATCTCTCTTCCTCTCCTCAGGCCTCCCTATTCCCTGGGAAACAAAAATATTAAAATTAGGCCAATTAATAACCCTACAATGGCCTCTAAGTGCTCAAGTGACAGGAAGAGTCGCACATCTCACACTTTAAATCAAAAGCTAGAAATGATTAAGCTTAGTGAAGAAGGCAGGTCAAAAGCTGAGACAGGCTGAAAGCTGGGCCTCTTGTACCAAACACTTAGCCAAGTTGTGAGCGCAAAGGAAAAGTTCTTGAAGGAAATTAAAAGTGCTACTCCAGTGAGCACACAAATGACAAGAATGTGAAACAGCCTTATTGCTGATATGGAGAAAGTTTTAGGGGTCTAGATAGAAGATCAAACCAGCCACAACATTCTCTTAAGCCACAGCTTAATCCAGAGCAAGGCACTAACTTTCTTCAATTCTATGATGGCTGAGAGTGGTGAGAAAGCTGCAGGAGAAAAGTTTGAAGCTAGCAGAGGTTGGTTCATGGAGTTTAAGGAAAGAAACCATCTCCATAACATAAAAGTACAGGGTGAAGCAGCAAGTGCTGATGTAGAAGCTGCAGCAAGTCATCCAGAAGATCTAGCTAAGGCAATTAATGAAGGTGACTGCACTAAAAAATAGCATTTCAACGTAGACAAAACAGGCTTATATTGGAAGAAGATGCCATCTAGGACTTTCATAGCTAGAGAGGAGAAGTCAATGCCTGGCTTCAAAGGACAGGCTGAATCTCTCGTTAGGGGCTAATGCAGCTGGTGAATTTAAGTTGAAGCCAATGGTCATTTACTATTCTGAAAATCCTAGGGCCCTTAAGAATTATACTAAATTTACTCTGCCGGTGATCTACAAATGGAACGATTAAAGCCTGGATGACAGCACATCTGTTTACAGCATGGTTTACTGAGTATATTAAGCCCACTGTCGAGACCTACTGCTCAGATAAAAAAGATTACTTTCAAAATATTACTGCTCATTGACAACACACCTGGTCACCCAAGAGCTCTGTTGGAGATGTACACAAGATTAATGTTGTTTTCATGCCTGCTAACACATTCTTCAGAGCATGGATCAAGGAGTAATTTCAACTTTCAAGTCTTATTATTTAAGAAACACATTTTGTAAGGCTATAGCTGCCATAGATAGTGATCCCTCTGATGGATCTGAGCAAAGTAAATTGAAAACCTTCTGAAAAGGATTCACCATTCTAGATGCCATTAAGGACACTCATGATTCATGGGAAGAGGTCAAAATATCAACCTTAACAGGAGTTTGGAGGAAGTTGATTCCAACTTTCATGGATGACTTAGAGGGGTTCAAGACATCAGTGGAGGAAGTAACTGCAGATGTGGCAGAAATAGTAAGAGAACTAGAATTATAAGTAGAGCCTGAAAACATGACTGAATTGCTGCAATTGCATGATAAAACCTTAACAGATGTGGAGTTGCTTCTTATAGATGAACAAAGAAATTGGTTCTTAAGATGGAATCTGCTCCTGGTGAAGATGCTGTGGACATTGTTGAAATGACAACAAAGGATTTAGAATATTACATAAAGTTGGTTGATAAAGCAGCAGGGTTTGAGAGGATTGACTCTAATTTGGAAAGAAGTTCTACTGTGGGTAAAACGCTATCAAACAGCATCACACGCTACAGAGAAATTGTTCATGAAACGAAGAGTCAATCAATGCGGCACACTTCATTGTTCTCTTATTTTAAGAAATTGCCACAGCCAACCCAGCCTTCAGCAACCACCCTCCCATCACTCAGCAGCCATCAACATTGAGGTAAGACCCTCCACAAGCAAAAAGATTATGATTTGCTGAAGGCTCAGATGATGGTTAGCATTTTTTAGCAACAAAGTATTTTTTAATTAAGGTATATACATTGCTTTTTTAAATATAATGCTATTGCACACTTAATAGACTATAGTATAGAATAAACATAACTTTTATATGTACTGGGAAACCAAAAAAAATTTGTGACTCACTTTATTGCAATGTTTGCTTTATTGCGGTGTTCTGGAACTGCAGTATCTCCAAGGTGTGCCCATATCATGTTATTTTTTTCTATGGTTTCTGTGTCATCATTAGTTGACTCATAAAATGTAAATGCATGGCTGGTCATCTAAATTAATTTAGTCACCAAAGATAAGCAAAGAATACATAACTGAAAGTTGTCAAATATGGTAGTATAAACTATTAGCTAAAATAATCTTAGGTCGTGCTAAAAAAATCAAATGAGGATATTTTAAAAGTTAACTCTAACTTCTATATTGGTGTTGTGCTTTAAGTGAATGCACGCTCTTTTTTTCCAGCCCTGTTTGGAATAGCTTTAACGTTAAAACTAATCTCAATAAGCTCATCAAATTTAAGCTGCATCAGGGTTTTATGGATCTTGTTACCCAGCCCAAGACAAACATTAAAAAAACATTGATCTCTAAAATGAAAAATAACTAGTTGGCTTGATAAGGGACCTTTTTTTCTCAAAGGCTGAGAATGCAGCAGGGATCAGCATGTGTAGTCTTCCTTGCAAATCAAATACTTTATTTGTGAAGAAAAACCCTATGCAGAATTCTGCTGAGATGAAGAAGTAATGATGGTTAGTTTGTAGTTTTGGTTGAATAGATGTTGATGGAAGAAAAACTCAGCTGCTGGAGCTTTTAGAATTAATATTTTCCAAAGTTGTAAGAAAATCTAAGGCGTTCTCAAAAAATTGGTAGGGGGCTTAAAGACAAAACTGAGGAAAAAATAATTTTCCTTGATGCTTTTCTGATTTTCTATATTTGTAAGTCATTGCTGTATTTGTGCAAATGGCTATGGAGAATAAAACAAAGAAACAACATTCTAGAAACATAGTGGATGGAAAAACATGAATTAACCCTCATATATATACAGCACTTTCCCATCTATTGTCTCATCTGCTACATATTCTGCTTTATATGGAAAGTCAGAAATATCTGTCACCCTTTTACAGACTAGAAACTAAGGTCTCAGAGCAATTAAGGCCATTTATGGAATGGATGTTGTAGCCAAGAACAAAAATGTATATATCCTAACATGAAAAATTCCCTTTCGGTCTGATGCAGTCCTATACCAACCCTTCTAATTCCAATTAGAAATGAATTCTAATTCATTTGTTGTCAAATTCAACCAAGAAATTTATTGGGAACCTCCCATTGGCTGGTTCAATGTTAGGGACTAGAAATGAAGTGAGAGACAGCTTTGTCTTCAGTGGCCATAGAGTTTAGTGTGGAGATAAAGAAGAAAAGCAACAATTGCAAAACACGGGAATATGGAACATTAAGCAAACAGTGCCCTTGGATCACTGGAGGGACTCCAAATTTAAGATTACCCTAAGTCTCAGTTTGCTGGAACAATTCTGGTTTGCTTCTGCTGCTCTTTGGTAATTATTGATGGCACCCAATTTCTCCCTGGAAAGCATCCTCTTGGGATTATAAATTATATGGCAACCTATACTAGGAGATGAAGAAAAGCTTTTTTGAATGAAGTTGCCCTAAATTAATCATCTCCCATATAGTTTTCCTACTAATTTCTCAAACTGCTGTCTAATTCACCTCTAATATATTATCTGTATTGTCACTAAATGATCTTTCTAAAACCCAAATCTAGCAATGTCATACTCCAGACTGAGAAAACTTTCAATGGTCCCTCTTTTTCTCTAGGATAAATTCCAAACGCTTTAGTATGATATATAAGGAACTCCCTATTCTGGCTTATGACTATCTGTTCATATTAATTAAAAACGAACACACAAATAAACAAACATAACATGCTTCTTAGTTCTTCAGCCATAGAAAATTACTTGGAATTCTCAAATGTGCCATGCTATGTCAGGCCTCTGTGCCTTCACACATGCTATGCCCTGTGACAGTAATGTCCCTCCCCTAATATTGATTTGCCTGGTAGAAACCTACTCCTTTTTTCTAAGAAAACCTCCCTGAGCCTCACAAGCTGAAATTTCCCTCTTCCTTTCATCACCGCACAATCTCTAGATTGGTGTTCATCATACCACATTACACGTTTTGCTTACATCTCTGTCTCCCCGACTTAGCTGCAAATTCTTTGAGGCTTACAATCAGGTCTTGTCTGTGCCTCACTATACCTGTGCTCATTCAATAAATACTTATTGAGCTGAATTCATTTAAGATTAGGGGGGCAGGAAAGGGAGTGGAATAAGAGAAGCTTCCCGAATATACAGGACAGAATTTCTAGAGGCAGAGATATGCAAGAATATCACACCATCTCTGGGACCTGCAAATTGTTTAGTGTATCTGGGTCATGGTGTAACTATGGGTGAAGAAGTTAGGGAGGAGAATGTCTCTGTGTAATTTTAATTCAAAAACACAGATACTATGAATTATCTATTTTTCTAGAGTGTATATTTTAAAAGGGATACACACACTAAAAGATTCATTCATGTGTTTCCTTAATGGATAATGATGGAATAACTACCAAGCAGTCATTGTGCAGAGCAGCACTGCATACTCTGGTTGGAAGAGTAGCCATTAACATTGGTTCCTCGCTAGAGCACTTCTTAGTATTCCACTTAGAGACTCCCAGAAATAGAAAGGTCTCACTTAGGAAAGGGGGAGATTAACATTTAATGAGCATCTACTCTGTGCACTCCTTATTTCACACAAAAGAAAACCAAGGATAAGGTCACAGCAGATATCGGTGGCAGAACCAGCATGACTCAGAACACAGTCAGGCATGACCCTGGTCCTAGAGGGCTCTGGGCTCAGTTAACTTGCTCGGAAAACAATAGTAAAAACAGCTTCACTGGCTACTGAAAAACACCTACTGACTATCCCTGGATATGCAAATATCCACATAATATCCAGCATTGATGGGATTATAGTGAATGCCAGAACGAAATCAAAGAATCAGGAAGATGTTGGGGGGGGGGGACACTGACAAATTCACCTACACAGATTTCAAACACAGTGAACTTGAAATAATCTCTCGCTTGTCCCCTGTCGAGGGATTCATGGCCTTCAGTTCTGTACATTCTTGGAGCTATTTATGGACCAATAGGTGTAGAATTTGAGAAGTTTGAGGAGAGGGGCTCTGGTATTAAAGAAGTACGCTTTCCAGGAGATTTTTTTTCTGGCTGACTGCCTGGGGAAATTTACTGAGACTTTGGGGAGGAAGGGAGATTAAGTTAAAACATTTTCAAGTAGCTTCAGAAGTTACAACAGAGATCTCTAGATCTCTACAGGCTAATTCAATGTGAAATGCAACAATATAATAAGTCCAAAGACTTTTCTAACCACTAACCCTGTGAGACATCAGTCTGGGCTGTAGGAAAATCTTGCTTACTTCTTGGTGGTAGTTTAAGTGTTAATCTCTCTTTCTCAGATGGTGCATTGCCAATTACAGCTAATCTCATATGGCATTTTTGCATTTCATCCTTCCATAGGGATTTGGGGAGTAGGGCAGATCATATATGTCTGCCTGAGGCAAGACATGGCAAGGTGGATCTTGATTCTCTCCCATGATGCACTTGTAAGAGCATTTTGTGGTTGTGCAAGGGCAAAAAAGAAAAAAAAAAAAATATATATATATATATATATAAATGTAATATATGTCACAAAAAAGCCAGCCCTAGTGGTCTAGTGGTTAAGATTTGGCACTCTTGCCACCATGGCCTGGGTTCATTTCCAAGTCAGGGAACCACACCACCCATCTGTCAGTTGTCATGCTGTGGCAGCTGTGTGTTGCTGTGATGCTGAAAGCTATGGCACCCGTATTTCAAATACCAGCAAGGTCACCCATGGGGGACAGGCTTCAGTGGAGCCTCCAGACTAAGACAGACTAGACTGGCTGCCCATTTCTGAAAAAATTGGCCATGAAAACCCTATGAATAGTGGAGCATTGTCTGATATAGCACTGGAAAATAAGAGGATGGTGCAAGAAGACTGGGCAGGTTTCAGCTGTGCTGTACACAGGGTCAACTAGAAGTCAGAATTGACTTGATGGCGCTAGCAAATAAAAATATAAAATTTACATCCAGCCCTGATGGTCTAGTGGTTAAAATCTGGCTGTCTCACCGCTTCAGTGGCCCAGGTTTGTTTCCTGGTGGCAGAACCACACCACTGGTCTGTCAATTGCCATGCTGTGGTAGCAGCTCACATAGAAGAACTAGAAGGACTTACAACTAGGATATACAACCATGCACTGGGGCTTTGGGGAAGGAAAAAGAAAAAGGAAGATTGGCAACAGATGTTAGCTCAGGGTGAATCTTTCTCTGCAAAAATAAATATATATAATTTATAAAAGTATATAAAAAACAAAAAAGAATATAAATATATAACAATTAAAATGTTTGTTATAGAAAGGTATTTTTACAAGTATTTACTTTCTAATTAAGATGTGTAGAATCTGGGGTTATGGAAAACACACCAATGTTGTATCTTGCCGTGATAGGTAATTCTAAAACAACATAGTCCCAGTCAAAAGCTCTGATAGGGCGGCAATGCTTTTAAACAAAGCAATTATCTTGCTTAGATGGATAGGTTGCTTTGAATGCTTCAGGAATTCATCAGCCTATAGACAACTCAGGCTATAGACAACTACACCCAGTAGCTAGTCTGGGATACCCTTGGGAACTCATCTCACTACTAAGGTCAAGAAGTAATTTGTATGATATGACAGGAAAGTGCTTCTGAGATAGATGGTTCTCTTTCTGGTTGCAGTTCATGCCTCAGCAGGCCCATGACACATAGATGCATGACGATATGCTTTGAGTTGTGTTCAACGGTAATTACAGCATAAAAATGGAAGCATTTCAAGAGTCACAGGATGCCTAGAACAGCCAGCAGTTGTTTCACTTATACATAGACTTACCAGGACATGTTTCATGCTGTATTCTAATTCAAAAGGCTGCCACATGTATGGTGCTATCTTGTGAATTAAAGCAGTCATGTCTGTTAATCTCCATAACTGGTCTTCACAATGACCCCTAACTGACATCCCAAAAGTACTGAGCACAGCATTATTTTGGTCTCCAAGATCTTATGTATTTTTTCCATTCCCAATCCTATTTCACTGTCCTTCCAACTTCCTCTGCTCCAACCATACTGGTTTCTTTTTACTCTTTGAACATATTCTGCTTTTCCCTGTCTCAGGGCCTTTTATATCTGATATTCTTTCTACCTAGAATGCACATCGTCCAGATTTTTCACATCTGCATCCTTCCCAATATTCAAATTTCAGTTCATATATCACCTCCTCGGAGAGATTTTCCATGATTAGCTATATTAACCCTTTGCCCACATACACATGCACACCAGCACTCTCTATCATATTTCCCATTTTTATTTTTTGTAACAGTTACCACTATTTAAAATTCCTAATTTTTAATTTTCTTGTTTATCATCTATCTTCACCTGCTAGAATTCAAGCTTTATTTGAATGGAGACCTGTGTGTCTTATTTATTGGCATATCCACAGAACTCAAAACAGTGCCAAGCATACAGCAGATGATCAAAGTTTGAATGATTATATGTCTAATAAAATAAACTATACTATCATTGCCATGAGTGGCCTAAATTAGGAATTTCTTCCACATACTCTGTCTGGAAATAGTTAGTACCATAAACTAGGCTCTTTGCTTTCTCCATGGGCTCATCCTTTATTCCTTACTCTTTTGATACAATAATTGAACATGTACAACTTTTGGAAAGAGCTGAACTTAGTAGGATGCAGTCAAGAAAGCAACATTATTCTTTCTTACCTTTTCCCACTAAACGTGCCCTATGGATCCCCTTTTCCTCAGTACCTGGATTAATTTCAGGCAGGACCCTTGGCTTTCCCAACCATTTTTATGTAATAAAAATAACTTTGTTTGTGTTCAAGCATTAATGATGTGACATAATTCTAAAATTATTCAAAGTTAAAACCTTCCCCTCCCCATTATCCAGCCTGCTTCAATGGTGTAAGACTGCAGTAGGAAAAGGGGTCTTGGTTGGCTTCTTTCCTCGCTTCATTCACCACCTCTTTCATTAGCTAACTGCTGATTTGTGCCCCTCCCAGTTGGACTTGGGGGAGAAGGGGTTAGGAGGAAAATGGCAAAGCTTTACGTGTCTATCACAGGTGCAATATGGTACCAGTGCCCTCTAGGCCTGAGTTGAGCAAAGATGACTCTTCTTCAGCGACAGTTTTTCAGGTTCTTCAAATATCTTCTAGGCTGCAGTTCTCTTGTCCTGGGTAGTGTTTCTCCTTTGGCTGGCCACTTATGACCCACCCGTCACTTGCTATATTAGAGCCCCTTTATCCCTCCCTGTGGTCTTCTTCTACAGGACTTTATAAGAAGACCTCAGTCAACTTCATTTTCTGGGGATCCACATCAAATTCCCAAACTGCAGGTTTTTGCTCTGTAAAATGTGGAGGAAAATGCGGCTTGACCCTCACCACAGCCTTCCAAACTCCACGGTTCAAGCAGCAGCACCGGTAGCCGTAGAGTCTCACCTTTAGACACTCAAGTATGAGTCCAACACTGGTTACTATGGCCCTTATATTCCAGAAGATGCCTTCCAGGCTCACTGAATGGTCTCCTGAAATCTTTCTATCTTTATTTGAATTGGAGAGGAAGCCTCCCTCTACGTTTCCCCATGGTTGGGAATATAAATAGTACAGGGAATACTCTCTCCAAATCAATCCTCTCTCTCCTTGTTCTGTCAGATTTGGCCAGGCTCTCCTTTCAGATTTCTCAGGAGTACATCAGAAACCAAGCCACTGATCCCAAAGCTCCAGAGAAGATGTAGCTAACTCTCCGAAGAGTCTCTTTGAAGCCTTTCTGGTTGGACATGATTGAAAGACCCACCAATTCTCTCCTCTATGGAGGGAGAGAACACACAGCAAATTAATACCTTTCTTCAAAAACTATTGTTTTCCTTCTAGCCTTCTCACCTGAAATCTTTTATACTCCTGAGGTGGACGTTACGGTAAGGCAGTTTGGACAGTTTTACAATCCCTGCATGTCCTGACTAGCAGGTCTAGCACCTTATTTCTGGACATGAGGGTGATTAACATTTAGTGCCTTAGTCTAGGCCTTTGGGGAATCAGCCAAAGACAAGACAAAGTCTTGTTTTAAATTCCCATTGCATTAAAAAGTGCATTATTTAGTAATATTAAATCAGTAGTTCTTTCCCTCATACTGCCATATTTCAGCTCTCATGTGAGTTTGCAACATTAACTAATGGCTCAAGAGTCTTTCTGGAATGAGCAGTGCCTAGTTAGAAGTGGGATCTCTACTGGAGGAGAGAAATGAACCATTGTTAATTACTATATATCGTATAAAGGCATAGATTCAGGGAACATACACAGGTAAATGGGACCTTGTAGAGAATGAGACAAAATAGAGAGGAAACTGCTGAATGTTTTACATTCTTCTATCACAGGTGTTACACATAGAGTAGAGTTGGAGTTAGACCAAGCAGAGTGGAACTTCTCAGCAAAAGCTGAACCTCACATTTACTACCCTGTCAATGGGGCCGCTTGATTATTTGGATATAATTTGAAAGATAACAGCAGCAACTTAGCACTTTAGTGCTTTGGAAACTTTCTTTTCATTTGAATTCCTGATACCTATTATCTGTGCCTCTCATTGGGCCCTGATCTCTCAGTTAAATGAGTCATCTTTTATATAAACCATGTATGTATGTCTTGTTTCCACAAATATTTTCCACTCAAAGTAGCAAAGAATATGTCTTTATACTCTCCTATTAGGTCCATCAATTTAAGCTTACAAGTAGTAGGTGCTCAGCTGGTGACTACTGATTGATGATTAGGTTTCCTTTCTTTGTTTATTCTTTAGGTTTCTATTATGTGAAAAATACTATGAGAGATCTTGTATTAAATAGCAAAAGTCAAGTCACAATCACCCAGGAGTCAACTTAAAGAGGCTCCCACTGGCCAATGATGTGGAAATTTGGTCATCTATAAAGACACTAATAGGAATTGGTTAAAACACATCAAATATGTTTAAATCTGAGATCTTAATAAGAAAAAATTTATTATCATTAAAAAATAGTGGGAGCCTGTTCATTATTTGGAGACCACCAAATAAAGTGAAGAGTCAAGTATTTAGCCTGCTTTTTCTATGCTAATTGTATCACTGAGTAACCAAATAGATGAAAAGTAATGAAGAAAAAGGAATGTTAATGTTAAAGTACCACGATTTTCAATCTCTAATCAAGAAATGAGTCTAGGCATTCAACATCAAAGACTGCCTACATCAAAAAAAAAAAAAAAAGAGGGAGACAACCAGATATTTTCCGCCTTCTGATGGAAAAACACATCACTTAGAAATAGCCTTAAAAAAGACGTAAAATCTGATCTGAATCTGATCAAGTTTCTAGATCCAATTTCCAATTTATAGGAAATACAGAGGACAGAGGAGCATATTAAACTATACCATGGGAGTGCAGTCAACAAAGTCTTGATTTTGTAATACTCCGCAAGAAAAATGACCCAGTTTATTTGACTAATAAATTGCAGGAGACGGACAGAGGAAAAAGAAAGAGAGAACATATAGAGTAAAGATTTAAAACACATATCAATCAATTCCAATGTGTGGGCATTATTTCAATCCTGATTTTAATAAATGGTAAAAATAAGTAAGATTTCTGTAAAACAATTGGAAATTTGAACACTACTTGTAAATTTGATTACATTAAGAAATAATTGTTAAATTATTTTTAGTGTGACAATGATATTGTTCTTATATCTAAAAAAGGTCCTTATCTTTTATAAATGCATACTGAAATATTTATGAATGAAATTATATGATGAATGATATTTGTTTCAAAATAAGATGGGAGAGCAGATAGATGGGGCATAAATGCAATGTGATTCACCGTGAGTTCATGATTGTTGAAGCTAGATGATGGGTGTATGGGAGTTCATATATATACCACTCTGTCTATTTTTGTATCTATTTCACATTCTTCATAAAACAAAAATTTGAAAAATACTGGAGGGAAAGACAATATATTAATTAATGTAGACTTCCTTCATAAAACCTAATGCATTAATTCTCAGAGAGATAAATTAGTACATTTCATTGTGAATATTTGATTTTGTTTTTGTTTTTTATAGAAAATATGCACTCCAGAGTAGCAATATAGGGACTTTTAACCTGGTATATAGGTCCAAGAGTGATTCAGGAAATCCAGAACTACCCAGAACTATATGCAAAATTAACTTTGGATGTGTGTGTGTTTGCATTTTGGAGGTCAAAGGACCTTATAAACCAAAAGACTATAAGAACAAATAATTAATAGACATTAGTATTTTTTAAGAGAGACTACCGAGAAATTTTGATTTGCTTAGTATGAGTGGGCAACTAAAATGGAAAAAGAAAACGCATTTTCAAAATAACTAAATCAATGAGAAAAAGTCTCCATTCCGTCAAATCCAGGCATTTCAATTTATAATTTGAGGCAAACCTGCTATTGGAGCAAAGACAGTGATAGATCCTGTGTTATTTGAAGTTTTCATTGTCTGGCTCTGCTTTGTCCAAATTCTTGCACTCAAAACCACCTCCTCTCTAGACCATGTCCCTTCACTCATGTAAGGCAACCTCCCTTCTGGACCATAGCCTCCTCCTCCAATTTACCTTGGGCAATGTTGAACTAGAAGAACTCTTATGAGCACCTTTTAGATTTCTATATGTATTATTTTATATATGTTCTCTCTGCAAGTACAGGATAAGTTCTCTACTGGCAGAGACCCTGTTTTTGTTGCCTGTGTATCCTTCTAGTCATGTGAATCCAGTGCATAAGAAAGCATCACTATGCATTTGCTTCCACTGTTCATTCAACATACCCTTGATCTAGAAGTAAAAGTGCCTGAGTTAGATATTGTAGAGGAAACTGAGTAAATACCATGTTTATAGCAATTATTAGTATAATCCTTACTTGTTTGGTAACCTAAGTTTACTCAACTACTTTTATTCTAGTTCCATCTGAAAAATCAGATACACATGGAAATATTCAATGCCATATCTGTACGCAAAATTCTTTTTTAAGTAGTTCTTTTTTTTTTCAGTTGTTATTTAATTTTAATGATTCCTCATTTTAAAGCCCAAAGGGTAAATTCTAAGATAAAATTATAAGAAACCTTTCTTCCTCATATAAATTTTCTCATAAAGTCATTTTGAATGTGATCTTTTTTTCCTTGCAGTTTCACTTAAAAACTTTTTTTGAAGTATACACATTCACAGGTTTACTAGGTTATCACTACCTCTTATTCTCACATTTAAAACTGATTTTAGGAAAATATAATATAGGAAGATTCTCGTGAGTTTTCCCATCGGCAGGGTTACCTGTTTTTCTGCAATGTAACTGCTTTGGGACACAAAGGCATTTGAAATAGGCATCCTTGATACAAATTGCAGATTACTTTCTCACTACTCCTGGCTGTGTACTCCCAAATCAATAGAAATTCATGGGATCTGAAAATTGAATCTTGCAATGCATTTTTTTTTCATTCTGACTTTATTGATAAGGTTATAATCCTTCTGCCCCATTTTAGCAAGTTCAGGTGGAAAAGTATTAACATTGACATTAGAAAGTGAATGTGTTAGGTAGGAGAGGCATAGGAGATGTTAGGACTCCGCAGCCCAATTACCTAGGTCCTCTTTAAATTTCATAGACTGTGCTAAGCACATCAGAGACATTTTGCTGAAAAGCCCTGCTAATGCCCAGTTTGATCTTTTTGCATTACCCAAACGCAAGAGAATAGACTCATCAAAAAAAATGGAGAAAAAGAAAACTCAGTCTTTCCCAATTAAGGAATCGCTGATCTAGATCATCAAGACTCAGAGTTCTTCTACAAAATCTAAGGCAATTTTGTAATGATAATGACGACAGCCTCGTTTCTGAAGGGCCAGCATAGGGAGCTTTTCTAAAAATGAACAGATTCTGAATTTAAACAGAGCCTCTAGAACTCCATATGTTCTTGGCTGTAATATACCATGTAGTAAGAAACAAGGTGTTTCCATAGCTCATCTCCTTCTTGGTAAACCACTAATGCATGCCATGCCATAGGGACTGTGATTCATTACTTCAACCAGTCTCAAGGAAAGGATATTAGAACTTGTCCATCTTCCTCTGGTAAATTGCTTGGAAATAAGCAATCATTCTTTATATCCTTGTTTACCTCAACCACCATCGGAAGTCTAAAATTCCCTGTTTCTACATCCAGATGGATTTTTTCTAATATGGATATGTATATCCCTCAATATAATTCAATTCCACACTTTTCTTCAGTCCCCCAAAACGCCCAAAGCCCTCAAGATTTCATAATCTGTCATCATGAAAATTCCCCATCTCTTTAACTTCTACAGTTGTTGGTCTCTTTCTTCTTGCTATGAATAGGATGATGTTCCTCTCCTGAACCCACTGCTTCCCTTGTAGCTCTATGAGTTGTCACTGTTTTTTTATCGCCATACTCCTTACATCACAAGTCCCAGAAATAAGATTGCTTCTTGATTCTAGTTGTCATTTCTGGATCTTTCTCCCTCAAAAACCCCTATTCCTTTGAAGAGCTTGACATCACACTTAACTACCTGCTACCCCTTCTTATTGCTGTCATCTATCAACCTTCCAATTTTAGCACCAGGCTCACTGTTTTTCTTTTAACCTCTACTAATTTGGAATAATTTTTGGTAACATTAACAGTCATGGGGATAATCCATTGAAAGCCCTGGGCTCTTATATTTTTACCAGTCTAACTCAGCCATCCAGTCCTATATTCATCGCTTAGACATTACCAGTAATACCTGTACCATCTCTCCAAAATCTCAATTTCAAATCTCTCTGAACATCATCTCCTATATTTTATGCTCATTTATTCCATTCCATTCCTGACAACAGCTTGACTCCATTTGAACTCCTAATCCATTTATCCTACCCTTTTTCTGCTTTCTCCTGGATTGTGTACTCATTTTCCCTCTTACCCAGCTTAGGTTCCAGGGTCTATCACTGTAGTCACTTCCTAAAATGTACTTTCAATTCCCTTGCACCCCTCCCCGCCACCCCCACCAATCTCACAAAAGTCCAACATTGCTTAACCCAACTTTCTCCCTACTCTGCTCCTGCTCCCATAAAGCAACATCTAGAGAAATCACACAACCTTACAACTAGGATTCAATTTAAATTTGTAACAGCAAATTTAAAGTGAGGACTCGGAACTGCTCAGAAGTGCCCAAATACCCTCTACATTTCCCTAGTCACATCACTTTCTCTCTCTCCAGAATGTTTTACTTGTCTGCTTTCTTCAAACCTCATATCCTCCATTAGATCCCCTCACTTTACTGAGATCCTCTCAGTAAAGAATTCATAGAGAATGAGAATCATTATCTTCCACCTTTGAATCTACCAATGTATGTACAACTGCACTCACACTCTTACAGAGTGTACTAGAGCACAATCTGCTCTAGTATGCCTTCTATGGTGGGAGTTTATTTTGTGTATTTCAATAATAGCTTTTCCTGTTTGGTTAGATTTTGGCCTCTCTTCACATTTAGGAACTAACCACCTTTTTACCTTGCTTGGCCAGCTGAAAATGATGCCCCAACAATCTCCTACCCTTATGTTTCTCTTCTTTCAAATGATCACTCCTGTGTGCTGATGGTAATGATCACACACTCTCTGGAATCAGGGAAGAATTCGTTAGCTACCCATAGTAAAGCAAAATTATTGTTTACTAGGACAGAGGCCAGGCTGGAGATCCTGTCCAATCTTAAAAAAGACAACAAAATTTTCCTGAGATTATTTCCTAGCAGGTAACTAGCTCTAAATATCTAAGGATTGTTGTCCTGCAGGACTGTTACTAAAGACAAAAGGTTCTGGCTCAGACGAAGTTCTTATAAACCTTAAAGACAAGATTGATGTTTGCTTGTTTGGTTTTGCACCACTGGAGATAAGGGTTAGGTCCTCAAACCCTCTCCCTACTCAGAGAACCAAAATGGGTAAAAGCTACAAAATCCTCTCTGACATTTCACAGCAGGGATGGAGAGAGGAAAAGACAAAAAAGAGAAGTACAATTTTAAAAGTATCCTTTCAAAAGTAGATATAAACTCGACTGGTCAGATACGCTATGCCAAGAACTGTAATTTCTTTCATGTAATCTTATGGGCAAGGGTATAGGGGAGAGTGGTAGACACTCCAGTCTTCATGAACTGCTGCTCTTTCTCACTGAACAGCAATGTCTGAGCGCCTACATTGAGGAAAGACTTGCACTATCTGGAAGAATCACAAGAAATGAACAACTCAGTCCCTGACCTCATAAAGCTTATGATCATTTGAACAAAGCACATATACACATTTCAGACATTTTTTAACCTGTGCTACACTAAAGACAAAAATTAATTCACAATCAAGTTCTTTTATATTTAAATTATTTGCATTAAGTCAGGGTGTAGGTGCAGAAAATCATTACTTTTTTCAGCCAACAGTGTCACTAACTATGATAGGCGTTAATTCCAAATTTGGGGATGCAAACTGGCTTTGAGACATATTAACAGAGAACAAGATTAGACCCCTAAGATCTTGATTGTAGTCTTGGTTCTGTCCTGAAATAGCTGTGTGACCTTGAGCCAAGCCACTTTTCCTCCCTTGGCCTAAGACTGTCATCTAGGGGGACATAGATTGCATTTTTACATTCTTTGAATTCTAAAAGTCTGTGATTCATGGTGCCAGAGGACAATGAATATCAGTCAACATTCAGGCACCCACATTCCATTTAGGTCTTTTCATGGCATTGTAGTTTCCAAAATTAGGACCGCTTATGGGAGGTGGACTATTTTTTTAGAGTTTAGATGCAATTCAGGATCCTCTTGTGTTCCACAATATTCCCAGATGATTAAATTTTAATTACTGTTAATGGGTAAAATTCCATATCTCAGAATAATTGGACAAATATATCAGAACTTAGTGCTCACTATTTCTTTAAGGGAAGCTCTCCAAAGGGAGAGCTGACCTTCAACTTCATCTCTGCAACATTTCAGTATTTTGAATAGATCCAAAATGCAAGCAGAAAGAGTATTTTCATCTTCCATTACCAAGTGTGAAGCCAGAATCCTCTTTAAATAGAAAAACTGCTTTGGAATTCCGTTTGCTGGCTGTGGATGCTGATTAGCTCTCTGTGGAAGAATTTTTGTTTCAAGTGTAAGAAAAAAAAAAAAAAGCTTATAGTCACTAATGAGTACTCTCATATGGGAATGATAAAGAACCCCATTACATTTGGTCCATAGGCTGTCCAGAGCGCAGGCTGTGTCCTCTGAAGTCTGAGTTTGAGATTCCAGGCTGAAGCCTGTGGTAATTTAGACAAAGTGTTGAAAATTATCTCAGCCATGCTAATACAAATGAGTTTAATTGAAACATTTGGTTACAGGGCAAAAGTAAATCAAATATTGTGTGATGTTTCAATTACAGTCACATGTCCCTTAATGATGGGGATATGTTCTGAGAAATGCATCCTTAGGCAATTTCATCATTGTGTGAACATCATAGAGTATACTTACACAAATCTAGATGGTATAGCCTACTACACACCTAGGCTATACGGTACTAATCTTATGGGACCATTGTCGTATATGCTGTCCGTTGATGAGTGAAATGTCGTTATGTGGCGCATGACTACATTTAGTCTGAGTCCCTCCTTTTTATCTTTGGACCTGAAGTCTGATAAAAAACTTCATCTTATTCTCTACCATTCCAAATTTAAGTTTTCTTTGATGCCCACTCCAGGTGCCACCTTGTTCATGTTATCTGAACTTCTAATTACAGACTGCCATGAATTGACATCACCTTCACTGAACTTAGAACAAAAACTATCATTCTCATTGTTTTGGCAATTAAATATGCAAGATCTTATGATAGCTCTTCTGCTATTATTTTTTTTTTTCTTTTTTTAGCTTATTTGTTTATTGCAGTAACATTGGTTTATAACATTGCAAAAATTTCAGGTGTACATCATTGTACTTCTATTTCCGCATGGACTACATCATGTTCAC